TAAAATATAAAAAATCTGATTTTCAAATACAAGACTGGAGAAGCATAGGAAGGTAAACAGGCAATAGAAATCATAAGGGATTTCAAAAGGTTAAACTGTTTACATTGTTACATGGGAAGACGATACTTGTAACTCGTTAGAACTTTCTCATTATTCATGCAGTTAGGAGTATGCATGGATAGAGGACATGAGTGTGAGTTGAATATGGTGGGATGATATCTAAAAATAAAATTAAAGGATGAAGAAGAGGAATGCACAGGAGGAGAGGTGGAATGGGATAAATTATCTCCCACAAAAGAGGCGCAGAAGAGTTTTTACAATGGAGGAGAGGTGGGAGAAGTGGAAGGAGTGCTTGAATCTTACTCATTGGAGTAAGTAATCTTACTCATTGTTCCTCAAAGAGGGAACAACATACACACTCAGCTTGGTGTAGAAGTGTATATTACCCTACAGGAAAGTAGGAGGGGGAAAGGATAAGAGAAGGGGGTTCAGGGAGGGTGGATTGAAGGAAGTGGTAGTCAGAGCCAAAACACTTTTGAGGATGGACAGGGTAAAAGGACGGAGAATAGGATAAATGGGGTAAATAGGATGGAGGAAAAATACACAGTAATTATAACTGGAATAAAAACTTACAGGAAGTTTCTCTGTTAAAGGCCTCATTTCTCAGATTTATGGAGAACCAAATGAGATATATAAAAATGCATGTCATTCCCTAACTAACAAATGGTCAAAGAATATAAACAGGCAGTTTTCAGATGAAGTGATCAAAACTAACTATAGTCATAGGAAAAAAAATGCTCTAAATCACTGTTGATTGGAGAAATGCAAATTAAAACAATTCTGAGGTACTACATCACATTTCTTAGATTAATAGGATAGAAAAGGACAGATGTTAGAGGGGATGTGGGAAGATTGGGACACTAATGTACTGTTTAATGGAGCCATTGTGGATAACACTATGGAACTACATTTTGACTCAGCAATACCACTACTAGGTGCGTATCCCAGAGAGATTAAAAACGAAAAGGAAAAGGACCTAACTGTACAAATACATATATATATACACACACACACACACACACACACACACACATATACATATATACACACACATAGAGAACAGCTCTTTTTGTGGTGGCAAAGAATTGGAAATTGAGGGGGATGCCTATCAATTGGGGAATGGATGAACAAGTTGTGATATGTGATGGTGATGGAATACTATTGTGCCGTAAGAAATGATGAGCAGAAAGAATGCTCTCAAAAACCTGGAAAGACTTAAATGAACTGATGCTAAGTGAAATAAGTAGAACCAGAACATTGTACACAGTAATAGCAATATTGTTATGACGATGAACTAAATGACTTGACTTATGATGAAAAATGCCATCCACCTCCAAAAAAAGAACTGATGGAGTATGAATGCAGATCAAAGTATACTTTTTAAAACTATTTTTCTTTTTTTGGCGGGGAGGGGAGGGGAGGGTGGTGTTTGGTCTGTGTTTTCTCTTACAACATGACCAATATGGAAATGTTTTGCATGACTGCATGTGTATAAATTATATCAAATTGCTTGCCTTCTCAATGAGGGGGGAGAAGGGAGGAGAGAATTTGGAACTCAAAATATTAAAAAACGAATGTTAATTGTTTTTACAATTAAACTAAAATAAAAATAAACTAAGTAGATAAAAGAATGTTTCACATCTTAGTTAGAAGGTAATGTGACTCTTAGAACCTGAGTTTTATAAACTGTGAAAATGGCATTATGAATTGAATGTAAGCTGTAAGCATTCATAAAGTCACTGTACACTTATCTTCCAAAAATCTGTAGTTAATTCTGAAGTTGAGTGAAAATCACTGTCTACAGAAATCATTTTGAGATTTGAACTTTTAGTGAAATAGTTAAGTTACCCCAGTTTTCATTAAGCTCAAAATCCAAAACAATACTCAATAATCCAATCATTGTTTTTTTTTTTTTCTCTTCTAACATTCTGGTAAGAGCAGAATTAATAGTTTTGGCCACATTGAGGAACTAATTTGGACTTCTTTTAAGAAATTCAAGTAGTAAACCAAATTCACACTATATTGATCCTATAGCAACCTTAGCTGTCCAGTACAAGAATATAGAATGCATTCCACAGCAATTGTGTCCCAGCATGCACTGTAGGCTGATTATTTGCATTAAAGAATTACATTTCAGACTGCTAGTCTCTCGACATTCCTTTGAGTTATCAAGAAGGCCAAACTGTAAAACCTTACCTTCTTTAATGATTATATATCTGAAATGCTATAACGGCTGCCAACCTGATTATGTAATATCAGAAAATGTGTTCACAAGGTATGAATATTCATTACTAACTGGTTGTCCTTAAGTTGAAATATTGAATTTGTTGATGTAATGAATTTTATAAAATTGAGTGTATAACTGGTGATATTTTAATACAGGTCAAAACTACAGAGAAATGAGAATCGAGATATCAGTGAAGTCATTGCTCTTGGTGTGCCCAATCCTCGGACTTCCAATGAAGTTCAGTATGACCAGAGGCTATTCAACCAGACTAAGGTATTTAAGTTTGCAGGGGTAGGGGAAGGCTTAATTCCTCCAGCACAGCATCATGGGCTTCCACATATATGTAATATTTATCATGCTTACTAGATTAGCCTACAGATTCTGTTGACATCACAAACTGGATTATGGCATGCAGTGGGTGGGGGAATCATACTGGTTATTTTTCTTAAGTGATTGGGTAGGGTTCTAAGAGATTAGAACAGGAGAGCAAAAATGAAGTTCACTAGTTACTTTTGAAGACCTAGCCCCTGATTTTTTTGTTTCTAAAACGAAGACAGGCATCTATAAAGGTATATAGCTTGTTTGCACATTTTAACACGTAAGGTTAGAATTAGGACTAAGCAAGCATAGGATTGAAAGGCAGCTTTGTTCAACGGAGAGGATATGACACCTGGAATGGGGGAGAATCTATGTTCAGCTACCATCTCAAGCACTTGTGTGGCCATGAACTTGGCACAATTTCTCCAAGCCTCATTTTCTTTACTTTTTGAAATGAAGAGGTGGAACTAGGTAATCAACGATTCCTTCTACATCTGATTTACTTGGCATTGATAACTGTTCCAAGTAAGGTGATTTTCCAGATTAAAGCTTGCTTCCTAAATAAGTACAGAAAGTTAAAAGCACAGCTCTTTAGATGATAGATCTTGCTTCAAATGTATTCCATTCTTCCTTGCCTTACATCAGCCATTTGTAGGTCAGAGGAGTTAGAGCTAAAGGGACTTTAGAAATCACTTAGTATAACTGCCTCACTTTACAATTTGAAAACTAAGGCCTAGAGCAAAGTAATAGTTTAGGGCCAGACCTTCCAAATCTCTACCCCCAAATCCGGTGTTCTTTCCTTTATATCACATTATATCAATTTAATCTTTTCTTGATAATTCAAGGTTCATCATATGAACATTTATTGTACTGTGTATAACATGTTAATACTTTCAGGAACTATTGAAAAATGGTCATCTGCCTTGAGTTATGTGGTCTAGAAGTACTGTACTTCACATTAGGCTCATCCATGGTAGATCTGGAAGTAACCTCAGACATCATTTAGTCTAATCTTATTTTACAAATGAGGAACTAAGGCCTGAGGTTAAATGACTTGTACATGATAACACAGCTAGTATCAGAGGCAGGATTTGAAGCTAGGACTCCAGTCACAGCTACTTTGCTGCTTAATTCATCTCTTCCTTTTGTAGCTCTTCCCAGCAGATGTATCATACTGCTATCAAGTGGTCTGATTTTGTTGCTTTTAATTACTGTTAACTTAGAAACTTAGGGTTGTGTACAGTCTGGGTAAGGACCTGAGAGAATTCACATGGGTACCTATTTTCCTCAAAGCCTAAATTTTTACTATGTATTTGTGCAAGGAAAGCACTTAATTGAATTACTTTTCTAGATGCTATACAGATTTTTCTTTAGTCTTAGCATTTATTCTTTCACAGGGCATGGACAGTGGCTTTGCTGGTGGAGAAGATGAAATTTATAATGTTTATGATCAGCCATGGAGAAGTGGCAAAGACATGGCCCAAAATATCTACAGACCCAGTAAAAATCTGGACAAAGACATGTATGGAGATGACCTAGAGGCCCGAATAAAGACCAACAGGTAGCAAAAAGTACTTTTCAGTTCCAGCTTTTAAAATAGTTGTTTTAAGTAGTGAAAAATGGTAACAACTTATGGTCCATTTGATTTTGTTCTAGATTTGTTCCCGATAAGGAGTTCTCTGGCTCAGATCGTAGGCAGAGAGGCCGAGAAGGACCAGTTCAATTTGAGGAAGATCCCTTTGGTCTGGACAAGTTTTTGGAAGAAGCCAAACAGCACGGAGGGTCTAAAAGACCCTCAGATAGCAGCCGCCCTAAGGAACATGAACATGAAGGCAAGAAGAGGAGGAAGGAGTGAGTAGGGTAGCCTCTCAAAGAGAATGAACTATTATCCTTAACTCTGATGACAGTGGTCATTGGAGAATTCTATGTAAATGATCAGAATGAGAACCAAATCTGGGATTGTAGATCCCACTGCTTTTTATTACTGGGGCTGGGGGGACGGGAAGTATACTTTAAACTAGTCTGTTTATTTTTAAAGGGGGTGGACCATATTCTCAGTGTAAAGCTTTTGCTTCCCCCTCTCAGTCAGCTCACCTTTCCCCACCCCATTAGCATTGACAGAAGCTCCATACTCCCCAGCATACCAAATTAAGATTATCATATCTTTAGTGACATTAGTTTTGGGGGATTAATGTTTCATAGTAGAACTATCCTTGTACATAAAGTTTATCACCAACCACGCTGAGTAGATGGGGGAGGTCTCCACACAAGGGAGCTGTCCACTGCTTGTTGAATGTTTGCCCCCCATGATGTGCATGTGTGTGTGTCTAGTTTTAATTTGGAATGGGAGAGTCAGCTTCTGTGTGGTGTAACTGTTTTAAATAAAACATTTAGATAAACTTTCCATAGTATAATATTTTTATTTCACAATTCATCAATACATTTATGCTAATTCAGATCAGCTCCTTCTGTTCCTTCTTATCTCAACGTCTGTATCTTTGGCGATGAACATGGACCTGAAAAAGATGCAGATTAGCACCACTAAGGAAGTATGTCTAAGCTGAAATAACTTCTCTAGTATTCCTTAAAGTGGGTGGGGTGTTAAGGGACTGACCCCATAAATACAAAAAGCAAAATAATAATAGCATTGTATTGTTCTTGTGCTTCTCCGGAATAAAGTTCATTCGGTTAATGATTCATTCATACAGTCAACAATTATCATCTTCCTCAATGTTTCCTAACCAAAAAGTTTCTGTGGCTTTTCCACAGATGCTAGTGTGGAAACTATTTACTTTAGAGATTTTCATAAACATTTATCCTGTGTGAGCATAACATGTCCATATCAGTAGACATTGTTGAATACCCCTACCCATATCTGGTTAATCAGTGGAAAAAGCTCTGCAATACTTTACTGAAACCTGTATATATCTATTGACGCCATGTTACTACCTTTACTTTGTAGAGAAGCAAGAAATATAACTGATTCTATATTATCATTACCATTAATGACAACACAGAAGTGATCTTACTTTGACTCCATCAATGAAATGATTTTCGTGCTGTAATGCCCTTTGAAGTTCTTCTTCTGAAGAAAATCCAATCCAACAAAAACCTTTATGAAAGCCTGTTTCTTTTTCCTAAAAAGGCAAAATAAGGAAAAAAAGTTAATTTGTGAGTTTAAATTAATCTTATATAATCTGACTATACCTAAAATATGCCTACTGATCAGACCAACACCAAACCCTTTTATCTTTCCATGCTAGTAAATAAATGGGACATAGATGATGTTAGATATTGTCTAGTATACTCTATTTGATCAAGGTTTTCTTTGATTCTAGATAGCCACAACTTTCTGAAAAGTTCTAGACTCAAGCCACACTTAATAGTCAAGGTAAATCAATTACAAAGAAATTCTAGTTTCCTCTCTCCATTTTAGTAACCTTAATAATTAAGCTTTAAAATTTAAATTCCCCAGAATTTTATAGACCTGGGTTTATGTGGTTATCTATAGTACAAAAATATGAAGGTACAATCTCATTTATCTGGCCCTTATTTATTATCCACATCTGGTTTATGCTGGCCATTTTGCATTTAAGGACCTCACTACTCCCTCTACCAAGAAAGGGCCTTTCTTGACCACCTAAGTCACAATACATAAGGATCACCTTGAAATGAGGACATTGGAAGGGACATGACAGCTGTTTTCAAGCCCTGCCATACAAACTATGTTGGTATATAGGTTTTAATCCTCTGAGTACAAGTATAAAAGTAATTTAATGTCTCCTGAAAGTACAGAATGAATGTTTGAGGCTGGGAAAGGCAATATGATCAATCTAGGTAAAATTTCCTTGTGCCTTCTTTGAAGGAAAAAAAAAAGTCTCAGATGTCATGACCTAGGAGATTGCCAGGATTTGTATATATATCCTGATCTGGGGGCTCTAAAAGGGGAAAATAGAGCAGTAGGAAATCAATGTTTAGTTGATTCCAATGTACTACTTACGTCTTCAACTTTTTAAGTGGTTCACAATTTTACTAGAACAAGCACTATTACAACTACAGGCTTGTGCTCTACAGCTAAAGCACATGATCATAATGGCACATTATGGCACATTATGCCATTATAAACTAATTGTTTCTGGACAGTCAATATGTTTTGGTAAAGAATCAAGAAAATAGTTGAACTCACAAATGGCAGGAAACATCTTCGTACAGTACCAAACTGGCTAAAGTGTTCTTTGACCTCATCTGTGGAAAGAAAAAAGTAAATAGGCCAGTTATTAATTTTTAGATTTTCCATCACAAAATTTTATAATTGGAAAAAAATTTTAACCACAACCTAGCCCAGGGTTCCATTTTCTTGTGACAGCTACTTTTCATTTCCTTGAAGGCCTTGATGGCACCCTGCATGAATAACATAAAATAAAATCCAATAGGGTAGCTGAGTTCTATTCCATGGCAAATCACCTGCAGGTGTGGTTATGCATAGATGCTACCCATCTGCAGCAAAGCTATTAACTTCCCAATTATCTACAAATATCTAACCCTGACATTCAAAATCCTTGTAGGCTCTTACCACAACTGACTTTTCTAGCTTTATCTGAAATCTGTTCTCTCCTCACCCCCCTTTTTCTTTACTTCCTCTTCTTGTTCTCTCTAACTGGAATACTGACCTTAACCATTTCAGGATACATCTGGAATACTCTTTCAACACCTGCACAACTTAGCAGTTGGAAGGGGCCAAAATTAAAATAGGCTAAACTTCTTTGGGCCACAGATAGATTTTTAGCAGCTCACTTTCCAAGTATAATCAGTGATTAAACTATTTTGCAAACAAGCCATATTTTTTAAAAAGGGAAATTTCCATTAATATAAATTAATTCCACTTATTAAGATTTTTATTTATCATGAAATTGCTCCTCTTAGACTACAGACAGACTGAAGATGGTTGGTTGCCACAGTCATGTGACAAACAGAAGAGAGTATGCAATGGCAACCCACCTGCCAAGTTACATGATGGGCACAATAATGACTAGTGGAAGGCAGGTTAAGCAGGGCACAAACAAAGCACTTGTTATATCTTTACTTCCTTTTATATCCTCTACATTTTTTGCTGGCCATCTAAAATCCTTTGGTGGCCCACAGGCCTGCTCTATTTAATTGACTAGTTAGGGGCACTAATTTAAAGGATGCTGATAAACTGGAGAATGTCTAGGGGATGGCAACCAAGGCATGAAGGGTCTTGACCACCTGTCACAACACATAAGGATCACCATGGAATGGAGAGACTGCAAGAGGACATGACAGCTGTTTTAAAGCCCTACCATACAAACTATGTACATAGGCTGTATTGTACCTACTTTGTATTTGTGTTTCCCCATTAGACTGTGATTCAAGAGCAGGTACTGTTTTTTGCCTTTCTCTATATCCCCAGAGATGAGCACATAGTAGGCACTTAATAAATGTTGACTGTCATTTAGAAGAAGGATGAGACCTATTCTGCTTGGTTTCTGGGCAGAAGTAGAAGCAAAGTAAGCTGTGGAGGCAGAGGTTAAGTATTATGTAAAGGGAAACTTCCTAACATAATTGAAAGTATCCACAAGTACAGTAGGCTGTACTTTACTAATGAATGACCCTTTGTTAGAAATGACATGAGGATAGGGGAGACTCCCTATATGAATAGAGGTTGGAGTACAAAGCCTCAGTCCCTTCCAACTCAAGATTCTATGATTCCACTTGCTGAAATTTTAGGCATACTTTAAGGCCCTGTTCAATTCTACCACTTCCATAAACCCTCCCTTGACCACCCCAGCTGAAAATGATCTGCCTCCTCTGCACTTAGTTGGCATTATTTTTATAGATACAGATCATATAATTTACCTTCAACAATCTGAGATTTTGTTGAGATAGAGTCAAGAGTCAGAAGACCTATGTTTGAATTCTACAACTTAGTATTTGACCTTTGGATAAACCACAATGTCATTTTCCTCTTTTAAAATGAGCTCTGGACAAATATCTCTAAGATCCTCATTTTCTGTTCTGTGTACATGGAAAAATGCATTTTACTTGGTGTTTAAGTCCAGAATTTAAAAATAAAAAGCTCTACACCTCAGCTGTGTTCTTTTCACTATACCATGCTGGATTATAACATTTTCCTCAATAAAACCAACTCCTACTCTCCCCCAGCCAGGCCATGTCAAGATTAAATTGTGGGGCAGCATGGCAGTGGAGAGAATGCCAGGTCTGGGGTCAGGAAGACCAAGTTAAAATCTAGCCTGAGACAATCACTGGCTGTGTGACCCTGGGCAAGTCACCAAAACTGTTTGCCTCAGTTTTCTTGTCTGTAAAATGAAGACTGTTATCCCTAAGCACCTATCTGGCAGAGTTCTTTTAAGGATCAAAAGAAATATTTGTAAAGCTCTTAGCACAGTGCCTGGCACATAGTAAGCACTATATAAATGTTAGCTGCTATTACTATCATCATTATTATTCAGCCTGTTTATTTCTTGTCCTGAGAAGTGTCTTATATAAAAATCCTTGTTTATCCAGAGCGGGGATGAGTCACTAGTGATTGGTGTATGGATTTCAGCAAGTCCTTAAACTTGGACTGGGGCAAAAAAATTTTACATCTTTATTTGCATTAACCTCTAAAGGAAATTCAGCGTTTCCTTCAATTATTTAAAAAAAAAAAACAACGCAAAACATTATTCTGATAAGGTTCACCAGACTGCCAAGGAGTCCATGACACACCTAAAAGTTAAGACTCCTCTTAAGAGGCAGCACCTCATCTAGTTGTCCCAAGCCCTCATTGGCAAGATGCATCTGTTGTTGGTGCTACTCCATGGGGAGACCACCAAGCCTCATCCGGCCAGATTGAAGGGGTGAGCCCGGGCTCCATAGAGAGTGATGGCCCAGGATCCTCTTCCACCTCTCAGCCTAAACCGGTAGTGCCTCCTGGCCCATATTACATCTCCAGGCCCTTCCAGCAAGGAGCCCTTCCTTTTTCTTTGCATTTACGGTTCCTTGCTACTCCCAGATGGCTCTGGAGGAGAAAGTGAGGCTGGTGACTTTGCATTTCCCTCCCTCAAATCAAAGTCAATTGCATGGCATGTCATCATCTCCCTGATGTCATGGTCTTCTTCGAGAAGGAAGGACAAACACAACCTGTGAGTAGTCTGAGCTGCCTAAATAGGGACCCAGCTGGCCAGTTCCAGTTGTTCCCTCTCCCTCTCCTTGTCTCTGGGGTTTACGGGCTAGATTTCTTTCTCAAAGACCCAGCCTTAAATCCAATTCACTCTGGAGCTCAAAGATTGGCCAACAAAGGTCCCTGCCCAAGCACCATTTATTGGTTATTTTTTTGGGCCCTCTAGGCTCAGAGGGAATGTAAATGGTAACTTGTTTCTCTTTTGGCCAACAACCCTGAGAGTCTTCCCTTCCTAGTTTGGTTTTTTTTTTTTAATTAAAGGAGCCTAAAGAGGCCTATTCACTGAATGGGCTTTACCTCACTCAAAAGAATGAGAACCTGAAAAGACCTTAGCTTAAAAGGGCCAGGGTCTCCCACTGCATCCTGATGAGTATCTGGCCACTGGACCCAGGTGGCTCTGGAGGAGAAAGTAAGGTTGGTGACTTTGCACAGGTCTCCCTCACTCAAGTCAAAGTCAATGGCAAGTCATGTCATCATCTCCCAGATGTCACGGTCCTCTCGGAGAATGAAGGCCAAACATAAGTCGCAGGCCACTAGGTGGCGCCGGGGATATAAAATGCGGAACCGGGAGTCCTGAATTCAAATCCTCACTCAGGCACTTACTAGCAATGTGAAGCCCGGGGCAAGTCACTCCATTTGCCTCAGTTTTCCTATTTATAGAATGGGAAGATGATAGCACCTACCGCCCAAAGGGATAAAACGGGATGTCTGAACGAGGCTTGGCTAACTTCAAAGCGCCATGTAAATGCCGGTAATCATTAGAGACGAAGGCTCGTGGGGCGAGATCGAATCCCCCGCAAAGCTCCAGGGCCACCCATCCCCTCCAGCTACTCACTAGCTGCTGCCGTCCAGGGAACGCGGTTGACAAAAATCGTGGCCAAATACCGCACCGCGGGCGAACGCAAAGCCGTCTCGGTGGCCATGTGGGAAGCAAGCAAGTCGTAGATTCAAGAACCCGCGGCCACCACCTACGGCTCGCCAAGGTGAGGAAGTCAGCGTTCCGGAAGTAGAGGTGGCGGTGTCCTTCCGGGTCAAGAGCCCTTTCGAGGAATGATGGGAACGATGGGGAAGATGGCGGCGCTGGCCGCCGAGCCCGGGGAGGATGCTTTTCGGAAACTCTTCCGTTTCTACAGGCAGAGCCGCCCTGGGACCGCCGATCTGGGACAAGTGATCGACTTCTCCCAGGCTTCCTCCACGCGGGACATCGGCCACAAGGTACGGAGAGAAGGGGGACGGGGCGCGCAGCCTTTTCTCCGGCCCCGTCTTGCCGGCTTTTCCTCTCGCGTTCGCTCGGGGGCCTGCCCCGCCCCGCCCCGCTCCGGCCCCGCGAGTCCACCGCCGCCTCCCGCCCGGGTTGTGGTAAGGGACTGTGCCCAGAACGTGCTGGGGGCCGGCGCGAGCTGTCCTCCCACGGCGGGGATCTTCCGTCCTTCCGCGGGTTCCTTCTCATCCCGGGCCGGTCTTCCCTCCCAGGGCCACAAAGCGCCGGGCGCACAGTAGGCGCTTCATAGATGCTGGTTGACTTGACCCGTAGGCGCCCAGGACTTCAAAAAGTGGTTATACTAATTACCTGGTTACTTTCTGAACGTGTGAGGCCTCTGTCCACACCTGTTGGTAACGAACGACTTTGTCTAGAAGCACTCACCACCTGTCATATTTCTCATCTCAGTGGGTGGGGGAGGGGTCGAGGGAGAGAATATGGGACGGAGAACAAAATAATTAAACGAACAAATAAATAAAAAACATCACTACCACCTGTTGGCCAACTTGCTGGCTATGAGCTGCTTAGAGTTGAGCCGAGCTGTCTTAGAAGTCATATATTTAGAGCTGGAAGGGCCCTCAATAGGTCATGTACTGCAGCACAACCCTCTCATTTGACAACTGAGGTCCAGAGAGTTGAAATCACTTGCCCAATCTTGCATAGGTAAAGCATGGAAGAACTGTGATTTAAACCCACATTTTCTGACTAAATCCAGTTCTCTTCTTGCTGTGGGGATTTGTTTGTTTATTTTAAAGCTAGATCTCCTTGGGCTACTCTGATCATTAGGCTGAATCTTTTCTAATTGAAGCTAATCCAATCGAGTGCTTAGCAAAGTACCTGGCATATCTTAGGCACTTAATAAATGTTTATTGAACTAAATTGAATTGATCAGCACAGGAGTTTTAACCTGTTCTGTTTTCAGACCTGGGTGGGTTAACCGAGAAATATTCAAATTACTGAACAATTGCACTCATTTCACACACCATCAAGGTTATGCTTAAGATTCTGCATACTAGACTTCAGCAATATGTGAACTAAGAATATAATAATAATTATAATATGTTAATGTTATATATTAATATAGCATATATCAAGTAATATATTAATGTAGAATGTATTAGCAATAATAATAATAATAAGAGCAGGCTGGTTTTCAAAGAGACAGGGGAACTAAAGACCAAATTGCCAACATTTGCTGGATTATGGAGAAAGCAAGGGAGTTAAAAAA